CACAGGAGCTCTCTAACCGAGAGATGATAATGTGCTTCACAAACGGTATAACAGTTCATAAAAGAATTTTGACTACTATATCACACGGAGATACTGACGTTTCGGATTAAACTCGTTCGTCTTCAGACTAGGAATGAATTGTAGACGACGTTATTTTCTTTCAAGCATTTCCAGCGGTCATCATGTACACACCGTAGGAGGAGAAAAGCAGTTTACCGCTTCTGCATGTGCTGCTGTAACACCAGCAGCAGGGATATCCCATAACAGCGTATTTCAAGAAGCATATTCACGGAGATATTGGCATTTGTCACCTCATCATCGAAAAATCGTTAAGAACGGTGTTGTTAATATGCTTCGCCAAAGATGGCGGAAGAACTGCATCACGAAAAGTGCTTTTCGCAAAGAACTACACCACGTCCATCTGACATTGCAAAAGATAGGTCTTATGCCGTGACGATGCTAAATGAAGGTGTGCCAAACCTATCAAGACAGTTCATCTCTGGCTGCTCACCCGACGGTAAGATCTGCATAAAGTTACCACATATTTGTAAGCTGGATGAGAAGTCTTATTGTATCATATTCTGACGTATCGCGGCTAACGCCGGTCTGAACGTTGTACTGAAACTCGGTTCAACGCTTCACCATCACCTCATTCTACCTTAAGATCAAGAGTCAGAAGGAGCAGAAACGAGGCTGGGTGTATAAGCTCCCTCACTCTTGCGGTTTAGTGTGCATCGGCGGAGCTGGCAGCTTCCTTGAGGAAAGGAAAACCGAACACAAAGAAACCTCAACAGATAGAAGAGCACTGAAGCCAGAAAAATGGTCTTACGAACGTACGCAGAGAATGGAGACAAACAGAGGATCTCAACATGCCGTTAGTTATAATACACCATAAATAGTACAAAAGCAATAACTTACCGGTCAAGTCAAGGAAGCGCTAGCGATTTGCTCAGCCAGCTTCGTCACTAGCGATACTGACGCACATGTCGACGACACACGAATGGAAAACATCGAACGCTCGGATACGATCAATAACAAGCGCGGAACCCATCAATCATACGAGTCATCTCGAGCCGAATAGAAATAAAGGTCTGTAAAATTCATTGTTACCTTGTAGACGGAATGACTTTTGTTCAAAACATCGTATATCTATACCTTTAATGCGTTATCACCAATACGGTATTTGTAGAAACAACATTTGAACCACTTTCTACGTTTCAAGTACATCTTCGTACCCTGAAGAAGATCGTCGTCGTACGGTTAAAACGTTGGCTAATAAACGTTATCGCATGGTATCGCTGCGCTCAAGGCCGTATCATCAACGAGCATCACGATTTAAATAGCATTAAACCTGTGAAATGGTTTAATATTTTATTTCTTACCAACATAAAATGCAATTAATTTCATGACTATAAAACTAATGAGAAACATGCAACGGGTAAAACCTAAACGATAGTAAATGAAAAATCACATATTTCAGCGAAACTTTGCTGCTTCATTAGGAAAGAAAATTGTTTGCTTCGTCTATTCATTTTTCACAGATTGATACTATAATTCTGTACTAGAATGCTGATTTTCAGGCTTAATATTGTAGCAGCGCGCTGAGCGGTCTGTCTAGGTCCATTCTGAGAGCCGCTTGGAGAGGTGAAGATGAGACGCACCATCGCTCGATCGTGCAACTTTATTCTCCATTACGAATTATATGACAATCACAATAACATGACAAAGTGAATCTCTTGAACAGAATAGCTGTATTGTACATGTTCTTCGAACACCACAGGCAATACCGCGTTCACGATATGCACGTGTTCCACCTGAATACGCTGCTCACTGCCGATCAGTGGATGTGTAACATTTATTGAAGACCGCTATACCGCCATAGAATTATGGTTTAATTCTAATTTCTTTCTGCCTGTGTAAGTCTGAGGACTGAAAAATGATATCTTATGTTCTACAAAGCATGATAATTGAATACAAAGGTTCCTCGTCAAGTACCATCCTCTGATAACCATTTTTTAGAAAGGTTTGGAATAGATGTTGAATCTCTGCCTCTAGGACAGAAGTGATGTAACAAGTTTTCTGGGCACATAAACATATTTTTCATAAAGTTCCTAGGCAAATCGGGAGAAGCACATGACATCGGTGTGCAAATAAATATACATTGAATTCAGTTAGATTCCAACAAGCGGAAACCCCGAATTCAGCAAAAGGTTCCCTCTTCACCAGCACATACAAAAATTATATTGTAGTTCAACTCAGCTTCAGTGGCAAAACGTATTTGGTCACTGGCATCTCGCCCATTCAAATAATCCATGAAGCATTTCAACCTTTTCAGTTCGTTGAAACAGTGGGAAAATATCATCAGCGAAATGCACATAGAACACGGTCGGATTTCTGGCAAGCATTCACTAAAGTTGAAAATGAACTAAAACAACGATCACCGCAGAGCCCATCAGCACGTTATACATTTGGTGTTAAGCTGATTGTTCACGAATTTGAAACTGGTGCCTTTCATCACCAGACCGAAGACTGTCATTGATTCTTCAAGACTGCAGTTTCTCAACACACTTTCTGATGCCTATTCTAATATTCTTTGTGAAAAATTTCCCTGATTACGGTTTCTATGCCAGAAACGGCAACGTTGGAATAAAATAAAGAAATATTTCATGCCACACTCAAAGCCTTTCATTCTGAAAAAAGCACAGATTTACAGTTAGTTTGAGCACACAAAGGGTAACACTACGATTTATCATCGTTATGCTATTTGAAAGCTTCCTTCTTATGATTTTTCCTGTAGTATTCCTGAACGAACCGGGATCGATAACGGAAGTAACGCGTAGAACGAAATTTGCGAATATTTTCTAGACGAGAAAGCCGCCAATGCATCCAGTCATCTTCGCCAAAGTCACTCGCCTGTACCCGACCGAGGGACATTTCCTGCAGCCATGGAGGATACTCCGAGTAGTCTTTAAGTTCGACGTCTTTTCCTGAAAACGGTGATTATCACACAGAGACACAAAAAGTTGAC